AACTGAAAGATAAACACAAAAAGGATTAAAAGCACAAGTTTAACTCAAAAACATAACCAAATCATAAGCTAGAAGGGTACAAAATGATATACAATTATGAACCGATCAGGCCTCCTCCCCCCAAAAGAGGAGATGCGGCGCTGGATGTGGTTTTTGCTGAGTCGCGGCGCTGGAGAGAAAAGCTAGGTTAGGTAGAGGAAAGAGAGGCAATTTCTTGTTTTTTGAAAAGTGAGCAAATCTTTACATAGTCATATTTCGAGGCCATAGGCTTAAGTGTAGCAATTTTTCTTTACATTTAAAGGGGTTAAATAAACCGTAAACTTACTTCAATCACGGTTTTAAATTGTCTATGCACGAATAAATAACTATATTTCACCATATCAACTTATCAGCAATATTTTCGTGAATTGTGAGACCAGGTTTGACAATGAGTGTTGTTATTTCCACTCATTTGTTCTATTTCCTCACTCACTTTATCTTTAAATATTTAATGATAAATTTACCCATTTGTAAAATGACTTTTAAGGACTTAGGGAAAAAACTGTTGCACATTATTTATTTCCTTTTGAAAAGAAATCGATGCCACAATGGCCTCATGACATGTCTAATATGTACTAGTCGCTCCCATTGCCAGGGACGGACCCATTCCCAGGCTAACCTGGGCTGTAGCCCAGGTGTCTTGATTTGTTTTAGCCTATATCAATGCTCCCAGCCTACCCAAGCAAACCTCACCTTAGCTAATGCACGGAGAGAGATAAAAAACATGAAGAAAGAGCCAATCATCCCTGCTACACGCCAATCAACCATGCCCTTCAATGCTTAATTAAAGCAAACCAAATTAATCTTCAATTATTAATCTTCTTTTATTGTCTTAATTTGTTGATGTTGAAATTTGGGGACTTTTAAGAGTTTATGAAGTATCAATTAAGGATTTACAATTTTTTATTTTAAAAAATTATATGTAAAGTTTTTTTTTCTCGGCTTGGCCAAAACATTCGATTGTACAGATTTTGTAATTAAAAATAAACAAATGAAAGTAGGTCAACCCCTTATAGTCCCCTAAAATTCCAATATATTTTTAATTGTAATCATTCATATTTTACGCCATAAAGCTTTAATCCTAAAAATTTCTACATTTTTGGAAAGAAAAAAATAGCTTCTACATTTGTAATTGTTTAATTTGTCTGAGTTTATTTCTTTTGTTGGTTAGTGTGAGTTTCTGTTTTGGTTAATTAATATAGGTTTCGTGTTTTTAAACAAATTGGGAATTTGTACACATCGATCCCATTGATTATGTTCCTCCCTTCAAGTCTTGTACGTAAGGTAAATCTAGCCCACCCTAATTTAAAATCCTGGGTCCGTCCCTGCCCATTGCAAAACAAATTGATGCTGGTTCTGCTTCTGAATCAGCAATTGCTTGCCTTAGCTGTGCCATTAATATGGGAGACCATATATGCTGACAAATTCATGTTTTTTAATCGCATTTTACTAGATCAACGCATCTGTAGTTCTGATCAAGTGCCATTAACAAATTCAAAACATCATTCATATCACAAGCCGGAAATCAACTAGAAGCATTCCGTTAGGAAGTAAAGAAAGATAAGGAAAAAATTTCAACAATAGAGATTTTATCATTCAGAATATCGATACCTTTCCTAAGATGAATTTACTTGAATTAATAATTAAAGGGTATTTTGAGAATAATGGTGAGTGGAAAGATATGATTGTGTTTTTTCAAATTTACATAATGAGTTAGAAAATAAGGTGGGTAGGAAAATATTAATATTGAGGTTAAATTAGTGCACCTAGTTTTGATGGAGCATCAAGTTTGACAGTTACTCAGTGTTTCATCTCATTTCTTTTACCTACTTGCATGCATATATATGCAGTTTAATTGACCTACATTTGATGTCATTTAATTATTTACATACAATTTGATGCGTGTATGCTACTTTATCAATATTTAATTATTTACGTACAATGATTAGGCATATGTATTTAAAAATAATAGGTATGTACTAAGAAAATACAAATGTTACATTATAAATATATACCTAGATTTTGCAAGTTCAACAATTTTCCTAGATATGTCCTCAGAAAATTGTAGGTAAATTATAATGTACCCAAAACACAAGGATCAAGACCTATAAAGAGCAAAACGTGTTCTTTCTCTTCGAAAAATTAATTTCAAACTTTGATATAAGTAAAAGGAACTAACTAACTAATCAATTTGAAAACAAAAACAAAAATTATCACTCAGTCAAATTTGGAAACACATCATTTACTCATTGTTTGAATATATATTCCATTAAAAATTCTTTAATTATAGATAAAATAAAAAAAGACCCCCCCAATCCCTAAATTTATGCAAAATTGAAACACCATTACTGGCGTTGACTTGCAAATAATTTGTTGAAAAAAAGATCGTTACAATGTAATTAGCATCGGGTTTTATTTTTAAAAAAATCAGGTTTTATTTATGGAAAAATAAGGTGATGTGTTGTACGTAAGAAAAAATGCGTTTGAAGGGGAAAACCCAAATTTACTATTTACACACATGAACATTGGCTAAGGATTAAACATTCCAACAAAATACCAGTTTTTGGTGGAATGTTAACATTTACTGGAAACATACAACTAAGCTTTTTGAAAAAACAAATGATGTTTCCTGTTATTATAGCCAAGTCACCTAGTTAATCTTTAATATATACACTAATTTATGTACCAACAGGTTTTGGGAAGCATGATGCCTTCTAAATATAGTATCGATGAATGGTTGGAAATTCAAAAAAGTAAGACATGGGAATTACCAGAAGGAGATGAAAGAATTATGTCGGTTTTGAAGTTGAGTTTTGATAATTTGAAATCACCTTCTTTGAAACAATGTTTTGCATATTGCTCAAAGTTCAAGAAAGATTTTGACATGGAAAGAAAAGACTTGATCAAGCTATGGATGGCTCAAGGATTTCTGTGTTCTTCTCCTAACAAAGATATGGAGGATATAGGTGATGAATATTTTATGATTCTGATGCAAAACTCCCTCTTTCAAGATGTTAGAAGGGATGAATTTGGTATTATTACCTATTGCAAGATGCACGATCTTGTACATGATCTTGCTGAGCTTGTATCAAGATCTGAAATGGAAGATAAACTTGAGAATCAACACGTGGCATGGGACCCTTCCAAAAGTTCCGAAAGAAATGTTGAGAAACGGTGGTCACTGTTTGTGAATGGTGATCAAGCCCTTAGTAATAATACATTACTTATAAGCTTTAAGGCTTTGCGTGTTTTAAATTTGTACGGGGCTGAAATTGAGGAGCTGCCAAGTTCAATTGGCGACTTGATACATGTGAGGTATTTGAACGTTTCTGGAACAAAAATCAAACAACTCCCTAAGTCTATTGGCAAGCTTTATAACCTACAAACGTTAAGAATGGAGGATACAAGGCATCTTGTAACGTATCCCAAGGAAATGGAAAATTTGATCAACTTGAGGCATGTTTATTTCAATTATGATAAG